ACCATAACATTTAAACTCATGCACCAACCCCCTAACCGAATTCTGTTAAAACTACAAGCACAATTCCTGCTTTGCACTCAAATTGGCAGCTTTTCTAAAAAAACACACTTTTTTTCAAAACACTACACACAATTCTCGTGCATTTGGCACAATTTCATTATGAAAAATCTTGTTTTTCACAAAGAACACACCTGTCAAATTCAAAATTTCTTATAAGTAAATTGCTACTATGATCACGACTCATCACATGGCAAACACCTGTCTACACACGTTTTTACAATACTAGCAATTCAGAGCTTTAGCATATAAAGGGCAGACAGGTTAGGGTTGGATATCCAGCAGTTGATGCTTATTCATGGCTGGATTCGACATTCAGGCGATATTTCCCGCTGCTTGGCCCCATGGAAAACCATTGCTTGTGATGTGCATGAGAAATGCTGTGGCCAGACCGAAACAGAAAGAGAGGATGCAGCCATAGTTTTTTTCTTTTTTTTACTGTAACTGTATACAGTAAATTCATTCTTTGTTTTTGGTATGTAACCACTGTATGGCTGCAACTGTTGTGTTGGTTGGGATGTACACTGTGTACAATTGTTTTTTGGGAAACGATAAAATTATATTTGTTAATGTGTATTTGTGTGTTCTAGTAATAAAGAACAATAGGTCTCAAATATTTTACAACACACCTATATGTAGTTACTGCCTGTAGTAAGTGTAACACTGAACAAAAAAGGCCTAAGTTGGTCATTGTGTCTCAAGTACCAGTATTTGTGTGTAAACAATTGAGAAAAACTGTAATACAATGAGAGTCACCACATCAATTATATGAAACAGTGTGTAATTTAATGTCAAAATGATTATTTTTTTAATAATTAGGAGCAATAGGATCAATTATTGAGCCTGATTCCATGGGACATTTATACAACAATAAATGGCATATTTCCTGACTATTTGATATGTATATTTGAATGCAACTTTAACCTGATAGTATTTTAACCTATATTCCTAAATTTCAAAAACAAAATGTAACTGAATATATTTGAGCATGGACGTTCATTCCTGTAGTAAACAGTAGTTTGACAAAATAAATCAAATTCAAGTTTCACTTATTAGTATTTTCTGCAGATTTCAACCACAACGAACTGAGTTTAATCAATAGACTTTTTTTACAGCAGGATTTGTGACATCACAATTAGTTTGTAAGTCAGTCCTGGTCCAGTATGCAACTTGTACAGTGTGATGTAGAAATGTGAAGCCACGGGTGCACATCCACTGAGAATGGACTAGGGACTAGGAGAAGCAGCACATTATTGTTCCAAGCAGACTGTTTGTAAATACAATTCGAAAAAAAAAAGTTTGAATGAACTTCATTTATTAATTTAAATAATTAAGCAATTCTGTTGGTTCAGCTAAATTTAATGGGGTTGATTTGACCACTTTTACAGTTATTAAACTACACTAGTAAATTAACTTGATCCAACCCAAGTAGATGGCCCAACAGAATAACTTAATCCTGAAAGAAAGTTGTTTAATCACATGGAAATACTTTACATGATTTAATTAAGTAAATTCAAAGAATAATTTTTGAGTGTAACTACATAAAAAAGTGTAACAAATAACATGGGGGTGGTGCAAAAGCCAACAAGTCAGAATCACGGAATCTGAAATGATTTGTTCAACACAATGGATTAATTTATTACTAACATAAATCTAATTTGCTCATCAAACACACATAGGAGACATCTTGTGTCCAGCAGAAAACTTTAGAAATGAACAACATTTACATATTCACAGATTCTGGAAGTTTTAATGAGGTAGAAGGAGTGGATGACTTTTTAATGTGGAAATTATACTTTTCTTCCCCAAGCAGACTATATGTCTTTATACATGTCTGGACAGGTTCGTATGTACCACTAAGAACTGATTTTATTGGTGCCAGATTCATACCATAAAATGACACTGTAAGTTTTATCAAAATGGAGCAAAAATGTTGAAAATCAATGGCTACGTTGGTTTGTCCAACAAACATTAACCAATCATTTAATGAACATAAACACAACAGATTAATTTATTACTACCATAATTCTAGTTTGCTAATCAAACACATTCCCTGACTATTTCATGTTAAAATGGCTGCTGTGAAAAATATCTATTGCTATGGAAGAGGAGATGAATTGACATCTTGGGACCTATTGAACCTCCATCACCTGATAATAGGTATATGGGGGAGATGGTAAACTTGTATGTACTGTTTTTGGATATTTGTATATTTGGATAGGTTTTCTCAATTTAAAAACCCTTTTGAAAAGTTCATAATTTACTGCAACCATTTCCTTGTTGACACTCACTGTCCTGACTGCTGGGATCACTTTCAGTATGTTGATTACAGAGAGTGAGAGCCGGTTGCAGGAGCAACAGTGCTATTGAGGGCAGTAAAAGTTAGTAAAACTGGTTCTGAAGGCAGCAGGAAACATTTGTAATCTGCTCATCTACAGCTGAAAATCTCCTCATTATCAGACATTATGAAATGCTGTACAGATATTATCTCTCTCTCCCCTCTCTCTCTCACACACACACAATGCAGTGGGTGAGGTCGGTGCATGACTGCCTCCACCAGGAATGCAGTAGTGTGTGTTTTGAGCTCTCCGCATACTGTACACTCTCGGCTAGGCTGATCTGTCAGTTTCTCCTGACAGACAAGAGAGACACAGGTTAACGCACATGAAGACATTAGAATGGAAAAAAGGGAAAAGAAGAATACAAAGGCAGAAGAGCGAGTGAGGTGTGGACAGACAGAGCAAATAAAAACAGAGGATTTGTATTTTTTTTTTTTTTGCACCTGAAAGTTTCTGCCAAACTTTGAGGAAATCCCTGTTTGAATCGGCTTGGGGACTTCTCTTTCTCTTGTGGATTTTAAATTTACCCGGTTTGTAATTGGAAACTTTTTGAGGATTATGACTCTGTTTGAACATTTTGAATTCAATTCCAGCCCTACTGAATTTTGATCATATAAATCATGTAAAAAGAAGAAATCCAGTGATAAGCAGCTGTGTGACACAGCACAGTGAATGATGTTCATCTGACACCTGACTGCTGGAGCCAAACATGGCATCTCACTGCGTCACGTAGAAGTGTACAACAAAGGTAAGAAAACCTGTGATGATCCACCCACGTTATGCAGAGGATGATGACATAGATTCATAGGCTTTATCAGGCCCGTAGCCAGGATGCCCCCAGCACAACCCACTCCTTTACAAAAGCCATTTTCAACATTTTCGCTCAATTTTGATGACACTTTACAATACACTGAATAATTTGTGTTATTGTATGAATATAATAAAATCAGTTCTTAGTGATATTTAAAGATTGCCTCCAGACATGTATTAAGACATATTGCTGCTTAGAACAATAATTTGTCTGATATACTTTTTCTGCAAAAAAACCCAAACATTAAGTAATGGAAAGTATTTACATGTGATTAAATGGCTTTTCTTCAGGATTAAGTAATTCTGTTGGGCCAATTTAATCTACTTGGGTTGGACCAAGTTAATTTATTAGTGTAATTTAAAAACTATAAAATTAGTTAAATCAACCCTATTAAATTAAGTTGGATCAACAGAAGTGCTTAATTCTACATCACACTGTACAAGTT